GCTGGTTCTGATATCAGAACTGGCCTTGGCAGCGGATTCTGATTTGTCCGGGTAGCCTCAGAAAAATACTAAGGCAAATGCCTTTCTGATAACTCTGAAAACAAGATCTGCTGAACACAGATTCCAAGTCTTAGAGTTAATCAGTTAATATCCTAAGTGCAGAAATATAAATTGCAGTAAAGTAAATGACACCGGATATTTTTATAGTGGTTCAAGGAACAACTCGTTCCTCTAGTCCACTGTTCCACTAGCTTTGAAGTAGATTGGTTACAAAGCTAAATCCTAGCACTTAAGAAGTTCTCCACGCCTTCTTCAAGTCTAGCTGCCACCCAGGATGCAGTTCCACGTCCTGATGGCTGGTCCTTTCACTCAGCTTCCCGGAAGTATCACCACTTCACTACTGCAGTTACTTGGACGCCCTTCTTTTCAGAAGATCCTTTGAAAAACAGAGTTTTTCCTCCAACTTGCTTCGTTACAAATGATGTTTGATGAAGTTCTTGAAGTGTTGAAGAACAGGATGAACTTTGCTTGTTTGTTGGGGATGAGAGATTTGGAGTTTGAATCTTCCCAACGTAAGCTTGTCTTGTTGAGGTTTGTAGAATTTGAATCTCAAGAGAGCTTGAATGATGATGAGCAAAAGTTGTAGCAAAGTTGTTTTTCTGTTCTTCGGTGTGTAGCTTATATACTGAGGTTGTCTGCCCGTTGGAGGAGGAGACAACTGCATTAAATGTGCGTACAGTTGACTTGACCGCCGTTTTGGAAGGTTTCTATTTTTATAATATATCTTCCCGGATTCCTTGGTCAATCATTTGCAATCAATCCTTCAGCGTATCAGGCTCATTTAATGTGCATTGAATGCTTTCCTTTCATGCACAGTCTTGTAGCCGTTGGATGTTTTTACCCGTTGAATTCATAGCTGTTGGATGTTGCTTGAAATTTTCTAAGTGTTCGTCGGGCTCTGATCAGGCTCTTCTGATGTGTTGGATTCTGATGGCCTTCTGATGAGTTGAGTTCTGAAGACTTTCTGATCTCTGATAGAACTCTAACTCTGACTCTGATAGGTCCGCTGATGAGTGCCTCTGATCTGTAGTTCTCATCGGTTATCAGATGTCCAAGTTTATCAGCAACTCTCATGGTGCAACTCTGATGGGCTTCTGCTAAGAGAACTCTGATGGAGCAGTTCTCATAGAGCAAGTCTGGTCGAGCAGTTCTGATGCACTTCTGATCTGATCCAAAATAGAGCAACTCTGATGGGCTTCTGCTAAGAGAACTCTGATGGAGCAGTTCTCATAGAGCAAGTCTGGTCGAGCAGTTCTGATGCACTTCTGATCTGATCCAAAATAGAGCAACTCTGATCGTCGACTACACTAATACTTACAATTGAAAATTCTAATACATAAAATCTAATTTGGGGGTACTCTAACTTTCTAATCCTATAGCATCATCAAAATCTAATTACATTTATTCCTTACAAGATATAACCGGGATCGACGAACATTTCATTAAGTGGATAAAAGCAAAGCCAAGTCTTCTTCTCATTAATTAAACCACATAACTCGTTCATCTTCGTGTTTAAATATAATTTAAAGTTCATCAACCAAATATAAACCCCCCTTATTGTTACTTATCTATTTCTGTAAGAAGAAAAGTATTCCTTTCCCTGTGGATACGAACCTTACTTCACTATACTACGTATTTGTGTTGTATTGTATTATTACTTTGAGTGCACATCACGACAAAGTGCACGTCAGACCTGCGTGGACCAATTAAACCACAAACCTCAGGAGGAAAGAATTACTTTATGCTTCTGGTAGATGATTACTCTCGATTTATGTGGGTAACATTACTAAAGCATAAAGGAGATGCACTTAAGAGTTTTAAGAGACTCAAATCAAAGTTAGAAGGATCAGTGGGCCAAAAACTCAAATGTCTGAGAACAGACAGGGGACACTACAAGAAAAGTGCACATAGACTGCATATGGACCACAATTTTTTTTGTGATGGCAGCATAACTGTCGTTAAAAACACCATTAACCACACATTTTTTTATTCATCACGCACAAAACTGTGGTAAAAGCTTAGAGCCGGCAGTTTTTAACTGTGGCCAATGTTTTTACCACAGCTGTTGTGCCAACGCACGTAAAACTGTCGCAAAACTGTCGTAAAAACATAAGGAAGGTCATTTACGACAGTTTTGCGTCAGTTTTGCCTGCGTCGCCACAACAGCCGTGGTAAATACATTGGCCACGGTTAAAAACTGTCGCCTCTGACCTTTTACCACAGTTTTGTGTGTGGTAAACAAAAAAAAGTGTGGTTAATGGGGTTTTTAACGACAGTTATGCGGCCATCACAAAAAAAATTTTGGTCTAAGTGGGGTCTATGTTCACTTTTCTTGTAGTGGGAGGAGAATTCACATCACAAGAATTCAAGGCATTTTGTGAACAAGAAGGAGTCCAAAGGCATCTCATTGCGCCCTATTCACCTCAGCAGAATGGAGTAGTGGAGAGGAGGAATCAAACTACCATGGAAATGGTGAGAAGTATGATGAAAAGCATGTCAGTTCCTGGCAAGTTTTGGGGGGAAGCTGTATGCACAACAATATATATTTTAAACAGATCAATAACAAAAAGTATTGATGGGAAAACCCCCTATCAAGTATGGCATAACAAAATTCCAAATGTAAGTCACTTATGTGTATTTGGTTGCATAGCTCACATCAGAGTTACTGCAGCTCATTTGAACAAGTTGGAAGCCAGAGGTGTTAATGGGTGTTTTGCTAGGATATGAGGATGGAACAAAGGCGTACAAGCTATTTGATCCAATAAAAGAGAAGGTGATCATTAGCAGGGATGTAAGATTTGAAGAAGACAAATCTTGGGCATGAAATTCCAGAGTGGAGGAAGAACCAGATTCAGAAACAAACAATTTTGAAACCTGCATATCAAGAGACAGAAGGGATGGAAACCTGGAGGAACCAACTGAAGAGAATGATGATCATTTTAACCATGCAGACACACCCAGATCACACTCTAGCTCTAGTGAAGAACCCCTGCATTATAGATCTCTACAAGAGATTTATGATGCAACCAGAGAAATCACAGAAGAAGGCAGTTTGTGTTTTCAATCTATAGATGAACCAGAGAGTTACAATGAAGCATATGAAAGGAAGGAATGGAGGCAAGCAATGGCTCAAGAACTTGATTCCATACAAAGGAATGGAACTTAGGAATTGACTGATCTTCCTGATAATCACAAAGCCATAGGGCTGAAGTGGATTTTCAAGTAAAGAGAGATCCTGAAGGCAATATTACAAAGTACAAAGCAAGACTTGTTGCAAAAGGGTACATTCAGAAATATGGGATAGACTACTTGGAGGTCTTTGCACCAGTAACCAGAATGGAGACTGTGAGAACTATGCTAGCTCTTTCAGCACACAAGAGGTGGCAAGTCCATCACATGGATGTAAAGACTGCTTTCTAGAATGGTGAACTCAAGGAGGAGGTTTATGTCAAACAACCAGAGGGATTTGTGAATGAAAAGTACCCAAATAAGGTGTTCAGATTGCATAAGGCACTATATGGTTTAAAACAAGCTCCAACAGCTTAGAATGAGAAACTAGATGGCTGTTTAAAGTCTTTGGGGTTCAGAAGATGTATCTATGAACATGCAGTGTATCTGAAGACCACAAATAAGGCTGTTATCATAATAGGTGTATATGTTGATGATCTTTTCCTCACAGGTTCAAATCTGAAACTCATACAAGACTTCAAAACAGAAATGATGAAAATATTTGAGATGAGTGATCTTGGGTTGCTGAGTTATTATCTAGGGCTGGAGGTAAAACAAGAGGAGGGCATCATAAGCTTGAATCAATCATCCTATGCCAAGAGAATTCTGAAACTAATGGGAATAAGAGAATGCAATCCCTGCAGTATACCAATGGAACCTAGAAGTAAACTGAGCAAGTTTGATGATGAGGTACTTGTAGATTCCACTTTGTACATAAGCATTGTAGGGAGCTTGAGGTACTTGGTGAACACCCGTCCTGATATAGCCTATTCTGTGGGAATGGTAAGCAGATACATGGAAGCACCAACGCAGGCACACATGAATGCAGGAAAACAGATTTTAAGATATTTCAAAGGGACAAGTGACATGGGGTGTGTGTTTAAATGTGGAGACCAAGGCAACGTATTGACCGGATACTGTGACAGTGACTTGGCAGGTGATGTGGATGACAGGAAAAGTACAATGGGAATCCTATTCTTCCTTGGTCAGAATCCTATAACATGGGTGTCACACAAACAGAAGATTGTTGCACTCTCCTCTTGTGAGGCTGAGTATATTGCAGCTACAGGGGGAGCATGTCAAGGTATCTGGCTCATGAAGTTGCTGGACAGCTTGAAAGGGGAAGTCAAAAGCAAACCAATACTGAAAGTAGACAACAAGTCAGCAATTGCCTTGGCAAACAACCCGGTACATCATGAACGAAGTAAACACATTGACGCCCGGTTCCATTTCATTCGTGAATGTGTTGAAAAAGGAAAGATGGATCTCTAGTATATAAGAAAGGGGGAGCAGCTTGCAGACATGTTGACTAAACCACTTGGAAAGCAGAGATTTTTGGAACTCAGATCAAAGATTGGAGTGCAAAGCATAAGACAAGAAACCAAGTTTAAGGGGGAGAATGTTGGAAGTTAAACTTGTTAATCACTTTAGCTAATTTAGTATTTTTTATGTGCATGTAAATAGCCTTTGTTGTGTCTTTACGTGTAGCTTAGATGTGGTGTACGTGTAGCATGAAATGATGAGGTATTTTAGTCCACTCGGGTTAACCACCTTCCCCCTTACTCTGTCTATAAAGTATGGAGTGGAAGAGGCAAAATGGGATGGTTTTTCCTCCCTCATCAATGCTAAACACAAGGGGGATGCATTCAAATACCAATGGGACGCAATAACTCAAGCCTACTAAAATTCCTTAACATTTTTTCTAATTTTGTAGGGCTTTCAAAGTCAGTGCAGGACGATTCAATCTTTCTTCAACATGGGAGCAAGTTAGAATCCGAGGACCCCACTTCCATCTCTAAACTGATTTTGAATCAACAAATCCAGGCGATAGGTATTGATAATGAACATGTCTTCTCAGCTGGGAAACAACTCCAATTGCCACCAAACCGGGCTTACTCATGTGCCTCTGACGATTTTGATCATTCGGATGACTCCATCTTTACAGATGACTTCTTGGGACATGCTACTGAAAGTGATCGTCGTCCTCCTATTTCATACCCAGAAGAAATTAGGAAGTCCAAATTCAATAAGGAAATTTGTCGCAAAGCCAATTTCATAACCACAGAAAATTGCTTGCCAACTGAAAATTTGAACACGCAGCTGAAAATTTACAGAAAAACTCAAAAGAACAAAAGGCGGCATAGTATGAGAACAAGGTCTCAATCGAGAGACTATCCTTGGGATTAGTTATTTTTAGTTTCCTCTGTTTTTTCATTTGTACCGCTTTTCATTTTTCTTTGTTTTCTCTTTGTCGCATTGTACTGTTTTCTCTGTTATTAATAAAAAAATGCTTGTATTTAAAAAAAATAGGAAAACTAGAATCATACTTTTCTCAAAAAAAAAACTATCATCATACTTGACGTCACTGTGACCGGCCTAATTGTATGGTCAACGGCAGCAAAATTACCTGTAGAATAAAGTTGTGAATTTGTGATATTGTCTTGTCTTTAGCAATTGGTTTTTCTTCGATTGTCTAAGGGCCCTCAAGGTACGAATTTTGTGACGTACACACGGCGTCAGTAATGACAACACAACCTACCCGGTCTCCAACACTTGCTTCACCTATACTCCGTAATATATTGCAGATCTTAATGCCATTGTAACCCACAAACAACCCTCCAACCCCTTAGCCACGATCCTCATCTTCCCATTTCAGCGGCGCCATGAAACAACCATACATATCGCCGCATTCGGAGAATAACTCCGGCGCCACCTCAAGCGAAGGCTCCTCCAGTTCCAGCAGCGGCGACAAAGATTGCGCCCTGCTCGTGGCGGGGATGGAGTATTTTTTATGACAAAAACTAACTTAATTATTATTAAACTTTCCTCTAAACTTTCATTACTGGCTCAGCCACGTACGGGATGGAGTATTTTTTATGACAAAGGATAACTTAATTATTATTAAAACTGAGGACCAGATACAAGTTCGTCATAACAAAGGCTACACTTGGATGAGAATCAGAGTTGTAATCAAGCTTAATAGTTGACCATCTCACTAACCCCACAATTTGGTAGACTCCATTCAAAGCAATGTTGCACGTGCTATTAAAAGAAAACACTTAAATCACAAAAGAGTTCTGAGACGATAACAAATCAAACGAAGAACATATAATACATTTTTTCCTGTCACTGGCAAGGAAATAGCGGTTTGACCAACCTCCGCTAAAGGTTTTTCGTGCTTATCCTCAAAGTCTTTGGCTACTATCAGTGCTGCCTGGGCAGCACCGCCACTTTGAAGTTTTTTTTGGAGCTGCTTCATGCCTTCATCCACATACATATTTTTTTGTGCGACTGTGCCCCCTCCTCACTACCCTTCTCAGTGACCATGCGCTTTCTTGGTGCTTCGCGAGTGTAACAATTTCCTTGCCCTTTGATAAGAGTCCTTCCACCATACTATCCTCCGTTTCTTTTTAATCGCAACATGTTGAATTTTACACTATTCACAGGCTCTACTTTGACTAAATTTTACGTTATTATTTTATGAAAATTATTTTTTAAAAAAGATGTTGTTCAATTCAACTCATTACAAAGTTTCAAAATCCGTTTTTTTAAATTTTCTTTTACTAATAGAGATTAAGATATAATTACGGTAAAAAACGTGCGTTGGCAAATGTGAAATGTTGACCGTTGCAACTAAAAAAGAACGGAGGAAGTATAAGTCTTCACTTATCGCTTTACCAGATGGAGTTATAGATTGATAGTATAGGAAAACTAGAATCATACTTTTCTAAAAAAAAAAAAAAACTACCATCATACTTGACGTCACTGTGACCGGCCTAATTGTTTGGTCAACGGCAGCAAAATTACCTTTAGAATAAAGTTGTGAATTTGTGATATTGTCTTGTCTTTAGAAATTGGTTTTGGGTCGATTGTCTAAGCCTCTAAGGGCCCTTCTAGATACGAATTTTGTGACGTACACACGGCGTCAGTAATGACAACACAACCTGCCCGGCTTCACCTATAATATAGGAGTATTAAGATCTTAACGCCATTGTAACTCACAAACAACCCTCCAACCCCTTAGCCGCAGTCCGGCCTCTTCCAATTTCAGCGGCGCCATGAAACAACCGTTCACATCGCCGCGGTCGGAGAATAACTCCGGCGCCACCAGCGAAGGCTCCTCCAGTTCCAGCAGCGGCGACAGAGATTACGCCCTGCTCGTGGCGGAGAATGCGATCATGGTGTTCGGCAGGCGCGGCTGCTGCATGTGCTACGTCATGAAGCGGCTGTTCTTAGCCCTCGGCGCCAACCCAACCATTTACGACGTCGATGTGGAGGACGAGGCCGCCGTCACCAACCAGCTTTCTCGGATTCTCAATAGCACTGCAGATCCCGCCGACCAGATGCCGTCGTTTCCGGCGGTTTTCATCGGCGGCAGGCTTTTTGGTGACCTGGACAAGGTCTTGGCAGCTCATATCTCCGGCGATCTGGTGCCTCTTCTTAGAAAAGCGGGTGCCCTCTGGCTTTAAACCTTTGACTGTTTAACCTAAAGTCTCACGCTGTGTCTTCATTTTTTCCTTTTTTTAAATATACGGAGTAACAAAGAGTCTTTGTGTATCACGTACTGTATGACTTGTATGAACTCAACTTACACTTCCTGACTTCCAGATCCTATGATTTCCAATAAAAATCTAAAATAATTGTCTAAACAGGAGTAAATTACTCCTAAATGCAACAACAACAGAATTATAGATGTGGAATATTTTTATTCTCAAAATAGAATTGAAGTAATATGTTCTCTCTTCATCTTATATATACCTCTTACATACTATCTACTATAATTCCCAATTGGACTTAATTATATTAATAATAATAAAACATAGTTTTATTTATAATAAAAATAAAAATAGAAAAATGTAAATTTATAATACGGAGTAGAAAATGTAAAAAAAGTAAGCAGACAAAAAATTAAAGGAAACCGAAATACCTTATGAATATTAAAAAGTATGTAGGCCCCGTCGCTACATCTTCCAACACTTACGATCCCAATAAATATGAGCTTGTGTAAAAAAATGCCACATATCTATAGACATGTCATCATGATAATGACAGTATTACTCTTTACAAAATATCGAATTTCATTTTTAAATCTGCCATCATAATGACATTTTATTTTAGATCGCCATTTTTTCGTGACAACTGGAGGTGGCGGTGCCAGAAGGTGGTTAAGGTGATATGATGGTTGAGTCATGTATATATTTTATTTATTTTTTATATTCTATATTAATTTTTTATGTTCTATTATTATTATTATTATTATTATTATTATTAAAGAAAATAAATCATGACAAGGGAAAAGATAGGATATGAAGAGTTGCTCTTACTTTGGGAATTTAAACTTTATACTCTTATTCTTGTTATCTTACTTTTATTTACTCTTGTTTAGAGAATTGCCCCATAAAGATACTATGAATGTACTCTCTAATGAGTTGTTTTATGTATTACATAGATTAGTCATATTGATCCTTCAATTCAGTGGCGGAGCCAGAGATTTTTTAAAGGGGGGCGCACTTAAGGGTACGATTTATGATGTATTTTCTCAAACTATAATAATTAAAAACAATGAAAAATGTAATACATTAGCAAAAATTAGTCATTACATTCTACTTGACTCATATCTAAAATCTGGGTAAATCAATCATACGAGTCTTAATATGTTCAAAATTTTGAATAGGAAAACAAGCTCGTAGGACTCTTGTACACTCATCTACATACTCAAAACTCAAAAGGTTCTCATAGAAATGAGCAGTCTTACCTCTATCTATACTAATCTCATCAAAGCTTCTTTAGAATTATTTTTATACACCATTACACATCTACATTCTTCCAAGAAGTATCCACAAACTTTTCTAATATAAAGGAAGGATCTAGAGAACTCCACAATTCTTCAAAATGTTTTAGAGGCTTCCCCACTTTTCCGAACGGTTTTAGTGTGTTCCACACTTTTATAGAAAACTTACCAATTATATTCTAGAAAATTCAATACTTCTCTACACGCATATACACATCCTAGACATCTTTGCAAATTCTAAAATTCTCATGAATTTTTCCATTAAGGAGGGAATTCGACAGTCTCGAGAATGATTTGATCATTTTGTTTCAAGAAATGTGACAACATATTTGATGGATAGTGTACCCGGGGGTATCTTATCTGAGAGGTTATTGCGGGAATAACTAGAGAGAAGTCAGAGCAAATAGGAGGAAAGAGAGTCGATTGTATTAAATGAACTCGGGATGTTCTGGTCATCCTTTACAATGGGAAAAAGGGGTGCTATTTATAGCAGCAATAAATGCGATGAAGGGACACGTGGCGGTGATCCAACGGCCGAGGGGTCACCTCAACCGGGTGGCACTGGCAGTCGCATGTGCACCGCATTGAATGCGGTGGGTGGATGTGACGTCGCATTAAATGTGGTGGTTGCTTGTCTCCAAAGGGAATCTTTGGCGATTGAGTCATTGGCCGAAGGCTCCCCCTTCGGCCGAGGGCTTTGTGTAGCCGGGGGCATGGGAGTGTCGAAGGGTCCCCTGACGCCGAAGGCATCTTGTATTCCGAAGGCTCTTGGTAGCCGAGGGCTACCGTTTTACGCCGTTTCTCCCAGTAGCTTTGTATGTTAGAAACTGGCTGCCCTGTGTAATTTGGAGACTTCGGCCATAGTGCCGAAGGATACCCTAGGCGCAATCTGGGCTCCTTTGAGCTTGGGCCGCTGAGTTTTGGGCTTCTCATGCTTCCTGGGCCTATTAGGCCTGTGTTAGAGAAGTAGGAGTCTATGGGCCAGGGGGTCCCTGGGCCATGTACTCCATCAATATTCATTAATCCCAATACTCTTGCACTATAACCACGAAAAGTCAACATGTGTGGCATTAAAGGTCTAAAACAATCCACACTTGCATTGATATGAGTGACGTACGCTGCAGTCAATACGTACTTGTATTCCTAGAGACACGTTTCCTGAATGATTTTGCCTTTTATTTTAATATACTTAATCTAAAATTGTCTTTATTGAGTATTTATTTTTGAAAAAAATAAGGGGAACATCAAATATATTATAAATAGTAGTACTAATGTTTTTGGCCCGAAGCGGGGGCGCTTGCCCCTCCATGCCCCGCCCAGCTCCTCCACCTTCAATTACCCCTCATCGATAAATCTACTTCTATTCGTTCGGGCATAGTTGGTAACGTCAAATTGGCTAGATCTATTGAAATTATTGAAAGCTTTAATCAAACTTCTAAATTTATGAGGAAAAAATATGCATAGCATTTAAAATCCTCGGTGGCTTTTATTGATACATAATATACATAAAGATAAAATGTATTGGAAAAAAATGGGAAAATAGCCCAAATAGGATTAAATTGTTGCTTAAATTCCAAAATAGGAGTAGTATAATTTTATTCCCTAAATAGGACTCATCTTCCAATTTTACCGCTTTAATTCATTTAACCCTCATAACCTCCGTATTATTTGATTCGCACAGTATTTCATCATCGCTGCATTTCAAAGTGGCATCTTTGTGCGCAGATCTGGGCTTCAACCGCAACCGGCAGCGAGCCTTGACAAACAGCGCCGGCGTGCACCGGCGAGCAGTGGCAGCGACCGCTATGCCTCCTCTTCCGCTCTCAGCTTCTTGATGTGGCGAGCAGCAACGAGCAATAGATGCGGGCAGAGGAGCAGAGCCAAGCAACGATGAGTGAGTAGCGAGTCGCGGTCTATAGCCAGAGTATCTTCCCCTCCTTCCTCCTCTCATGTGTTTCTCTCTTCCCCTCTTTTGTTTCATTGCACATATGTGCGGCTTTGTTTCTTCTTTGGTGTTTCAAATTGCCAAATTTTACTCTGGAATGCCATCAAAATGGCATTTTTACACTTCAAAACTTTTCGTTATTTCTTTCAAAAATGCCATTAGGATGACATTCTTGATTCATTTTGGCATTCAGAGAAAAATGTTTGGCATTAGCAGCGGGGTCGGCCGGATCTGCAGTGGCGACGACCGGACATCCAACGGTGGCAGTCAGATCTAGCCAGGTCAACAACAGAGAAGGTCAGATCAATGACGGTGAAGTCCAGATCTGCAGCGGCGACGGCGTCTAACGACTGGCGATGGTCTGTTCGGCGACTAGCGGTGGTTTGGCCGGCAACTGGCGGCCGTGGCTGGTGACTATCAGTGGTGGCCAGTGAGTGGCAGTTGTGGCCGGTGACTGGCAGTGGTGGCCAACATTCTATAGTTGCTGCAATATGTTTTATCAGGCTTCAGGGATATTTCTGTCCAACTACACATAATAACTCCTATTTGGGGAAATTTTAAACTTTACTCTTAGTTTTTGCAATTAAGGATTTATTTACTCCTATTTGGATAAATCTCCCGAAAAAAATTGGTTGTCTGACCAGTTCTTGGTTGTTTTTTGTTGGTCACGCTACATCATCATTCATAATTAATTCATGTACATATTTTTTTGGTGTAACATTTGTTATGTACGTAGAGTTTATGTTAGACTAGGAAAGATTCTAGCATTTACTTTCCTTCCTTTTTCCACGCATGGAAAGTTGATAACACATGCGTGACTTTCATGTATAAAGGCAAGTCGAGCCTTCATTGTAGAGTGAGCAATATACAGAAAATTCCTCCAATCTTTCTTCCTAATTTACGTATCTTCCTTTTCAATATGGTATCAGAGCCAGGTTTAGGGACCTGCCATTCACAGAACAACGACATTATGGCCGGTGAAACCACTCACACCGGTGGAAACCATGAAAATGTTGAACGAAGAAAGATAAACAACCCGTCGTCGCCATATTTCCTTTCGAGTTCGGATCACCCTGGGATGGTGATATGTGCAGTTGTACTCCGGGGTGAGAACAACTACCGGGAATGGGCCACGACGATGAAAAATGCGTTCTGAGCTAAACGGAAGATGGGATTTCTTGAAGTCACGATTGTGCGACCCCTAAATATTCCTAGGGACCTAGAAGATTGGTTGACCGTCAATTCCATGACGGTGGGATGGATTATGACTTCTGTTGATCCGGGATTGAGAACCAACTTGGCCTACATGGAAAGCGTGCACGACCTCTGGACCGATTTGGAGGCACGTTTTTTGGTAGGTGACGCAATGAGAACATATGAATTGAAGGAGATGCTGCGGAACTGCAAGCAACATGGACAACCAATTACTGCTTATTTTGGGCAGCTTAAATCCCTCTAGGAGGAGTTCGACGGAGTAAGAAATTACCCACCATGCAACTGTAACGAGTGCACGTGTGACCTAAAGAAATTATTTCTTAAACACGTAGAATCGGAAAAGATTCATGATTTCTTGATGGGTCTTGATCACGAGACTTACAGGAATTTACGGTCTAATATACTCGGGGCGGATGAACTGCCCTGGTTGACAAGAGTGTACAACATGGTAACACAGGAAGAACGACTCCGGAATTTGACACGCAGGTGTGACGATAAACCGGAGGGTGTAGCGTTCGCTGCTCGTGTGGAACCTGCTGCTCCAAGAGATGATCGTGGCAAGTGCACGTACTACCACAAACCGAGACATGAGTATGAGACCTGCTTTTGGCGGACAGGAGTTCACCCAGACTTGTGGCATGACAACCCAGGTCGTGCTCGAGGTGGCAGAGGGCGGACTGGTGCGAATCGAGGAGGATCCGGGCGTGGAGGCTCCGGACG